CTGCCTTGTCACGTTTTCTCTGAAGGCAGAGCTGTACTCATTGTGCATAAACATGTTCTGGAAGGCGGCGTCTCGAGGCTCTAAAGATAGATGATTGCTGCTTTTTGAAATAGATACATTTGCTAAAACTGCTGTAAGGCGAATTTCTCTTTATTCACTTACTTTCATTAAAAATGTCATGGATTGGCCCTGCCTGGGACGGCCGGTGGTTTAAGTGCTGGCCTGTGAACCAAAGGGTCGCTGGTTTGATTCCTAGTCAGGCCACCTGCCTGGGTTGCGGGCCAGGTCCCCGGTAGGGGATGCACGAGAGGCAACCATACATTTATGTTTCTCTCCCTTTCTTTCTCTCTGTACCTTCCCCCTGCTCTAAAAATAAATAAATAAAGTATTTTTTAAAGATGTCATGGATTGGGGGACAGTCCATGAAAATTGTTTCTATGGAGTCGAAAACTCTAGCTGAGCAAGCGTTTAAGATGATGGGCAGCATCGAGGCATGCTGGGTTTTGCCTGTCTGGTAGCATTAGGGCTTCTGGAAGTTCAGTGAGCGTGTGGCTGCCCAGTTTTCCTGTCACCTTTAGCCAATTGGACTTGCCCTCTGCCTCATGTATACCCACATCCTTGCTCTCAGTTCCTGTAGGAACTACATTTAAAACTTCTACAACCTTCTTTCTCTCTTCTTGCTTCTCTATTGTAATAGCATGGTTTTCTAGCAGGTGTAACTGTACATTTTTGTTATACTGGAATTTGAAATTAGTTTCAGGAACTCATTGTGTTTCTCAGATGTATTTGAAGTGAGGGTTACACCTGGCTGAATCAGTGAGGCAGAATCCTGTTGGGGAGGAAATGCCAGCAGGGGGTTGAATCCGGCACGGTCAGGGGAGTTAGAAATGAGGTTCCAAGGGCGATGCCAGGGCACTTTGAAGTTTCTTCATGAGGCTCTTTGTCTCTGATAGCAAGTCTGACATACCTTGAGAAGCAAGAGAGAGAATTTAAGAGAGTGAACTATGAAGCCTGACTTCTGGATTATCCTGGCTTGCTGTGGGGCCCAAGGCAAGTCATTGTAACTTGGCTAGCTGTGTAACTTCAGGCAAGTCACCTTTCTGTGCCTCAGTTTTGTTATTAGTAAGGTTCAGATAATAGTAGTATCGACTTCATAGGGTGATCATGGTGGCGTCATAGGTGATTACAAGTAGAGCTCTAGTGCGTAATAAGTGCTAGATAAAGGGCGATTGCTATTTTCGGCAAGGTAGTGTGGGGTCATGGTTAGGGGTGGGGCCTGTAGCTGACTGCTTGTGAGCAGGTTTTGGCTTCGAGATGTGTGACCCTGAGAAGTAAATTAAATTCTCTGGCTTAGTTTTTTCATCTATAAAAATAGAGGTAATAGTAAAAGTAGTACATCCGGTTGTGGTGAAGACTCAACAAGGTGATACGTGTAGGGTTCTGTGAAGTGTTCCCAGTCCGACCCCAGTACTCACAGTCGCTGACCAGCAGTCCCGCAGCTGTCATTTTGACCTGTCTTCGTCTGCAGTAGCACAGTTCCGAACTTTGCAGACACCCCGTTCCCGACCTTTGATGTTTCTCACGCATGCACAAGACCTTTCAGGCTTCTTGCTAGTGATTATCTGACTACAGATGAGGCTTTCTGTGGGTTAGATTTTGTAAATAAATGACATCTGATGTTCTTCTGGGCACGGTGTTGCCTTCTCAACTATCACCCAGATAGTTGGAAAATTCCAACACTGGTTTTGTTTGTAATGCGATTAAAAAGTATTTCAAATTTCTGGAAGTGAACTGTTAGCCTGCTCTTCACTCATTCTTCTCTTTATTAGTCTAACAAATATTTATTGTCTAGTATGTACCAGGTATTCTTCCATAGTAGTGGACAGAACAGATAGGGTCTCTGGTCTCATGGAACTTCCTATTTATGGGGGAGGGGGCAGATAATAAGCAAGTGAATAAGTAATCAAAATAATTTCAGATAGTGGTAAGTGCTTTAAAGACCATCAGATGTGATGGGACTGGGTAGGGGGAGGCCTGCTTAAAGCTCTGGGGGGTCAGGGAAGACAAGACATGAAGCACCCCAGTGCCATGTGTGGCAGCCACACAGAGATCTCTGCCAGAAGAGCCGTCCAGGAAGACAGGCCCCCACCGCGGCAAAGACGCTGAAGTAGGAATAAGCTAGATCTTTTGTAATAAGAACTGAAGCAAAGGCCATTGTGTCTGGAGCAAGGGGAGGAAGAGTAAATGAGGCTGGTAAGGTGGGCAGGGGCCCTACCAGGTGCGCTGGGTGGTCAGAAGGGAGAAAGAAGTGTGAGTTTGGTTTTCAGTTCAGTTCACTCATTTGAGAGTTGAGGCTTCTGACCTGTGACTTTTGAAAGGTCATGTAAGGGAGTAGCTTGTGGGTGGGAAAGCATGAACGTGCTTTTTGTGTTCCTGTTAATTCCGGAGGATTTTATTTTGACCCACTGTCGGGAATCTTCTTTGGAACCCTTGCCTCTGCCTATTTGGTCTGTTAGAATTTCAAGTTTATATGTGTTGGTGTTTAGAGAAGAGAGTATGCTTGGTTATGTAAGGCCTGTCAGAACCCAGAGGAACAGCTGGGAATGTTTAAAGTCTTTCTGTTTATTTTTTTGTTAAACATCAAAATATAGTGTATGAAAAAAGAGTTTGTTTGGACTTTTGATTTTTTAAATTGTTTTGTCTTATTTCTTAATCATTTTTTAAATTGTTATTCTATTATAGTTGTCTCCATTTCCCCCCTTTGCCCTCCTCTGCCCATCCCACCCCCCACTTCCACAGTCAGTTCCCTCACTATCGTCCATGTTAGTGGGTCATTTGTACATGTTCTTTGTCTAGTTCCTTTCCCCTCCTCCCTCCCCTCTGGTCACTTTCAGTCTGTTCCATGTTTCCATGCCTGTGGTTCTATTTCATTCATTAGTTTATTTTGTTCATTAGATTCCTCTTTACAGGTGAAATCATATGGTATTTGTCTTTCACTGCCGGGCTTATTTCATTTAGCACAATACTCTCCAGTTCCATCCATGCTGTTGCAAAAGGTAGGTGTTCCTTCTTTGTTTCTGCTGCGTAGTATTCCATTGTATAAATGTACCACAGTTTTTTGATCTGCTCATGTACTGATGGGCATGTAGGATGTTTCCAGCACTAGGCTATTGTAAATAGCACTGCTGTGAACATAGGGATGCATACGTTCTTTTGAATTGGTGATTTGGGATTCTTAGGTTATATTCCTAGCAGCAGAATTGCTGGGTCAAAAGGCAGTTCCATTTTTAGTTTTTTGAGAAAATTCCATACTGTTTTCAACAGTGGCTGCACCAGTCTGCATTTCCACCAACAGTGCACTAGGGTTCCCTTTTCTTTGCATCCTTGCCAGCCCCTGTTCCTTGTTGATTTATTGATGACAGCCATTCTGACAGGTGTGAGGTGATACCTTATTGTGGTTTTAATTTGCATCTCCGATGGCTAGTGATGCTGAGCATCTTTTCATATGTTTATGGACCATCTGTATGTCTTCCTTGGAGAAGTGTTTATTCAGGTCCTTTGCCCATTTTTTAATTGGATTGTTTGTCTTTCTGGTGTTGAGTTTTGAGAGTTCTTTATATATTTTGGAGATCAAACCCTGTCTGATGTTTCATTGGCAAATGTGTTCTCCCATATGGTCATTTCCCTTTTCATTTTGATGATGGTTTCTTTAGCCAAGCAGAAACTTTTTAATTTGATGTAGGCCCATTTGTGTATTTCTTCCTTTATTTCCCTTGCTCTAAGAGATGTATCAGCAAAAATATCGCTACAGGGGATATCTGAACTATTCTGTGTTTTCCTCTAGGACTTCTATGGTGTCATGATTTATTTTTGTCTTTTATCTATTTTTAGTTTATTCTAGTGTATAGTGTAAGTTGGTGGTCTAGTTTCTTTTTTTTTTTTTTTTTATTTTTTTATTTTTTGCATGTACTGGTCCAGTTCTCACAGCACCACGTATTGAAGAGCTTTCTTTACTCCAGTGTATGCTCATGCCCCCTTTGTCAAATATTAATTGACTGTAGAGACGTGGGTTTATTTTTGGGTTCTCTATTCTGTTCCATTGATCTGTGTTCTTAATGCCAGTACCAGAGTGTTTTGATTACAGTGGCCTTTACAGTACAGTTTGATATTGGGCATTATGATCTCTCCTACTTCGTTCTTCTTTCTCAAGACTGCAGAGGCTGTTCAGGGTCTCTCTTGGTTCCCTATGACTTTTCGAACTCTTCGTTCTGAATCTGTGAAATATGCCATGGGTATTTTAATAGGAATTGTGTTGAACCTATAGATTGCTTTGGGTAGTGTGGACATTTTAATGATGTTAATTCTTCCATTCCATGAACACAGTGTATGCTTCCATTTATTTGTGTCTTCCTTAATTTCTTTCTTTAGTATTCTGTAGTTTTTCGAGTATAGGCCTTTTACTTCTTTCATTAGATATATTCGTAGCTACTTTATTTTTCTTGTGGCTATAGTAAATGGGATTTTTCTCTAGTGGCTCTTTCTGATTATTTCATTGTTCGTGTACAAAAATGCCATTGATATCTGAATATTGACTTTGTATCCCGCTCTTTTGCCAAATTCACTTATTAGGTTGAGTAATTTTTTGGTAGGGACTGTAGGGTTTTCTATGTACACTATCATGTTGTCTGCAATTAATGACAATTTTACTTCCTTCTTTCCAATTTGGATGCCTTTAATTTCTTTTTCTTGTCTGATTGCTGTGGCTAGAATTTGCAGTACTATGTTGAGTAATAGTGGTGAAAGCGGACACCCTTGTCTTGTTCCTGATCTTAAGGGGAAAAGCTTTTAGTTTTTGACCATTGAGTATAATGTTGGCTGCAGGTTACTTGTATATGGCTTTTATTATGTTGAGATATGCTCCCTCTATTCCCACTTTGCTGAGTGCTTTTGTTATAAATGGGTGCTGGATTTTATCAGATGCTTTTTCAGCATCTATTGACAAAAACATGGAACGCTTCACAAATTTGCGTGTCATCCTTTCCCAGGGGCCGTACAAGTCTTCTCTTATCGTTCCAGTTTTAGTGTGTGTGCTGATGAAGCAAACACTGATTTTATTTTTTGCAGGTTTATATTTGCTGTGTTTAAGAACAAACGATTTCTTTTAAAGTTTTGACTTATAAAAAGAAAAAACAGTACAGAAACAAACAATCATTGATTTAAAAAAGATATATTATTTTCTTCTGCATAAAGATTTGTTACCTGTATAGCTGTTTCAGTGTGAAGTTGGGAAGTATATAGCCCAGTAAGATAATGATTTCCTTAGTTGCTAACAGTTTTGAAAGCTATTCAGTAGTTAACATATCACATTTTTTTAATCTAGCTATTCATGAGGTCATTAGCCATTTAGAAATTTTATAATATATTTAGGTGAAAACAGATTCTGGCATGTTTTTATCTTGTGCGTTTCAGAAGGGTGCCCTCCTGCATAGAGAGTTTGTGTTGGTTGAACCTCACCCGGTCGCTAGGACAGCAGCACTCCGAGGGCCGGAGTGCGATGACCACGGAAGCTCGGGCTCGGCGTCGGGAGGCACCTGGAAAGCGTCCGGTGCTGTCTTCCCCCAGTGTCGTGCTCATGCTGTTGGCTTTGGAATAAATTGGAAATACATTTTTTAAAAGATTTTCTTTATTAGGTTTTAGAGAGGGGAAGGGAGGGAAAAAGAGAGAGAAAAACATCAGTGTGTGGTTGCCTCTCAGTTGCCTCTCATGTGGCCCCCACTGAGGACCTGGCCTGCAACCCAGGCATGTGCCCTGACTGAGAATCAAACCTGCGACCCTGAGGTTTGCAGCCTGTGCTCAGTCCACTGAGCTGTGCCAGCCAGGGTGGGAATACGTTTTTCACTCACTCCTTCCCATGTTCTTTTTACTTTGGTTTATTTAAGTCTTTATATATTTCTGTGAACTCTAATCATTTCCAATATTTTATGGTACCACCATGCCATGAATATGTAACTTAACTACAAAAAATAGAGAAGAAAACTATACATTTTGGAATCATAAATGGTTTAGTTAAATAAAAAGCCTGTTTCAACAGAAACAGATTAGCTCATCGGGGTGCCAAAAGGTATCTGTAATGGCTGTTTTAACTCATGACATCTCATATGCAAATAATTCCATTGCTCCTCAAACTTTTTTACTAAGTTTTAGCATCTATTGATTTTTGCCTGAATCAATTACTACTGTGATGATTGCCAAGTGGTGATTTTCTAAATCCATTATTTAAAAAATTGAATTTATTGGGGTGACATTGGTTAATAAACGATACAGTTTTCAAGTGTATAATTCTTTAATTCATCATCTGTATATTGTATTGTTTACCATCCAAAGTCTAGTCTCCTCCCATCCCTATCCCTGTTTACCTCTTCTACCTGCCTCCGTTATTTCTCTTTCATTGATTATTTGGGATATGCTTTAAGGAAGAGCTTTTCTTATTTTTTTTTACTCATTCATTCATTCATTCATTCATTCATTTATATTAGTGTGGACTCATTGATTCTTATTTATTTATTTAAATTTCATTTCAGTTGTTGTTCAAGTACAGTTTTCTGTCTTTTACTCTCATCCCAGCCCACCCACCTATCCCTCCCCACCTCCCTCCCATTTCCACCCCCCCTAGTTTTTGTCCATGTGTCCTTTATACTTATTCCTGTAAACCCTTCCCCTTTTCCCCTGAAATTCCCCTCTTTCTCCCCTCTGGTCACTGTCAGCCTGTTCTCTATTTCAGTGTGTTTGGTTATATTTTACTTGTTTGTTTGTTTTATTGTTTAGGTTCCTGTTACAGGTGAGATCATATGGTATTTGTCTTTCACTGCCTGGCTTATTTTACTTAGCATAATGCTTTCCAGTTTCATCCGTGCTGTCTTGAGAGGTTGTGGAGAAAAGGGGACCCTGGTTCACTGTTGGTGGGATTGCAGACTGGTACAACCACTATGGAAAACAGTGTGGAATTCCCTTGGAAAACTAAAGATGGGTCTGCCTTTTGACCTGGCAAATCCACTGCTAGGATTATACCTAAGAACCCTAAAACACCAATCCAAAAGAATCTATGCACCCCAATGTTCATAGCAGCACAATTTGCAATAGCCAAGTGCTGGAAGCAACCTAGGTGCCCATCAGTAAATGATTGGATCAAAAAACTATGGTACATTTACTCAATGGAATTCTGTGCAGCAGAAAGAAAGAAGGAGCTCCTACCCTTGGTGATAGCATCATTGATTCTTATTTTATTCATTAGGTTTTAGGCGGGATGTTACCTGTGAGAGCCTGTTGGAACTTTTTGAACAGTGGAGTCATTGTGAGAGAAACTGACGGGCCATTTCCTTAAATTCTGTTTAGGAGTGTCATCTCTGCACTCGGTATGTTTTTTTTTTTTCAGGGCCTAGTTCTAGGTATAATCAGATTGTTAGTGGTTTATGTCCTCACTCCTGACATGGATGTTAAGAATTAATGTTTTAGGAGTATAATACATGTGAGGTGTTGTTACATATTTCCTTCTAAATTTTTAAAAAATTAAATGCAAATTTTATTAAGGATTTCCAAGTACATATTTCAAATTTCTTGAATGGAGTAGAACTATTCTGGAACTGGAGAGATGGCAGAGATGAATACCGTTATCCCTTGAAACCCCAACTTTGTTAAGAGAACATTCCTTCAGAATTGAAGTTGTCATGTAAACTTGGTGTGTGGTACGCCGAGGGCAAGAGGGGCAATTGTCCGTGGGCGCGAGAGAAGGTTTGTCCCGTGCATGGATAATACATTGCCAGGAGGCTTGTGAGCCCACTGCTTGTAGTCTTTCTTGATATAATTAGCCGTGACTTTAAAATGTGCAGTGGCATATAGTTCTTCCTTATCAGTGCTCTTGGAATCTGGTCATTAGATTTCAGCACTTCTCTTTCCAGACCTCCTGGTTCTTTCTAATTGTGCTTTAAAAGTCTTATCAACTAGATTTCGTGGGCAAAATGGTTCTGGGTTTGTTTGTTTGGTTTTTCCTTTTGCGTGGGTAGTGAGGCTTTGAACAGTATGATTCAGCAGCATATGGCAGTTCTGAGTTTAAAGCGATCTCGTTTAGTCAGAGCCTTAGACCGCCTTGCGGATGGATCCCTGAGAGGAGGTTGGCGGGAAGTGAGGTCCTCCTTCCAGCAGAGGGTCCCTTCCCGCAGCCGCCTAGCTTGCAGGAGCCCTTCCTGTTCGGCTGGCCTGGTCTGGCAGCCCCGCCCCGCCTCCGCCCCACCAACAACCACCGCTCTGATTGGCCAGGTCCCTGTCTCTTCTCTCTCCGCAGCCAATCGCGCCGGGCGAGGAGCTCCTGGTCTGGTACAATGGGGAAGACAACCCCGAGATAGCAGCTGCGATTGAGGAAGAGCGAGCCAGCGCCCGGAGCAAGCGGAGCTCCCCGAAAAGCAGGAAAGGTAGGAGTCCGCCGCCCCGGGTTTCCCCTCTGCACCTGGGCTGGCCAGATCCGGGCTTGGGCGGAGTCTGCAGCTCTCCGTGACCTTTTCTGGACCGGCTGCCGGCGTGATCTGGTCCCCCTCCCCCCGGGCCGCTGCTGAATCACGGCTCCGGACGCCACTTGGGCTCTTTTCTAAACTTGGGGCTGGGAATCCGGGCGTGGAAAAGTGCGCGGACCCCAGCGCGGTCTGAGAGCTAGTTGTCACTGCACTCACGGACGTCAAAATAGCTGGACCTGCGGTCGGGAGTAGCAGCCTGTCCCTTCAGAGCGGTGCACTCCCGGCATATTCTTAGCTTTTTGTGCTATTTGCCAGCGAACGCGTCATAAAAATGTGTTCCTACAGTGACATTTCCAGGTCCGCAGATTCGGTGCCCTTGTGTCCACTCGGATTGTGCAGTAAGGGCCGGGCGGGCTGTGGCTGATGAGCTCGCGTTACCCGGAGGGCAGAGATCTGGCCGCGCTGGGCTGTACGCTGCGACTCCGGGCAGGCGGGTCGGGGACTGTCACTACTCCACACGGGCTGGGCCCTGTCACTGGGCGTCACTCTGCGCTGCTCGGCGCTCCCCCCACCTTGGCCACACCACTGTGCTCCTCTCCGGGATGGTCCGGCCACTCTTCTCCATCCCACTCCACGCTGAGGCCCGGCCGCGCCACGCAACATTGCAGCACTCTTAGGGGGAGGCTAAGGTCTTAGCAGAGCAGATCTTCCTGAAATTAGGCCATTAACAAAATGGAAGTTGAAGAGCCTGCTGTTTTGTCACTTTTGACTCAACTCCAAGAGTTTTGTTTTATGATGTTTTCAACCCAAGGTAAAGCGTAGCCACCCGTAGTAAAGGGAGGGGATCCTGGTAGGAAAATAGTTTGGTTGGATGTATCAGATTTTAGCTGGCATTTTGACACATTGTTGGGATTTTTTTTTTTAAGGAAGAATTTTCATGTGAGTTTGTGAATCTTTTGTAGAGCGTAGTTTGACTGTATGCCAGGGCACAATATGGCAGTTGCTTGCTAATAAAAAACTTTTTATTTTTTGCTCGCCTTAGTCTTAAGTAAGTTTTTGTAGTTATTTGAACTTAGGAGTCACTCTTTATTAACTCAGTATACATTGTGGAGTGATCTGTGGAAGTGATATGGCAAATAAAATCACAACAGAAGCTTGATTTTGGGAAAATGTAAAAATAGTACTTAACAATGTAGGCAAGAAGTCCTTTTTGGTTTTTGCATCACATAATTCTTTTGTATTTCACAGTGTCATATGAATACAACTAACTCATCCAAGGAACAGTTTTAGGCCTTTTACTAAATACATGTTCTTTATTTGTTGAAGTGATTTTGTTGCTATTTTAGGTCATTGAATACATTGTCCTGAATCAGATGACCAGGGCCTAGAAAATTCCCAGGTTTTGATTTTTGTTTGTTTCTTCTTCTTCTTCCTTTTCTTTTTTTCTTTTTTTTTTTTTTGCTGTTTTAACTGGGTATTGAGGTTTTATTGACATTAGGCTTAGTGCATAATTGTTTACAAAGTGTTCACATAATTCAACCTGTTTCTTTATTTAATGTTCATTTTGTTTATAACTAATGCCACCAGCCTTTCCAGGTAAGT